TTCAACAGTGTGGTAACCCACATGACAAAGATGTGGGCAGTCTGCTTCTGCAAAGATCTACAGCCTTGGAAATCCTATGGGGCTGTTCTATTTTCTGTAACAGGGTCGCTAAGTGCCACTGGATGTCACAGCCTCTGGCTAGGGCTGCACTCTTGGAAGGGCCACCTCCCCCCATGCGCACCTACAACAGTAAAAATGTGGCGGGTGATCATTTGTCCTCTTTCACCACTTGTGAGGTCGAAGTGTGGATGGAGTGTAGCCTATGGCCCCACAGCAACACCTACCCTAAACTTTAGAGCTTTTTGGGTCGTCTCAAAGTTCAAGCTTCTTAGAAGCAACAAAAGCTTTCTAAAGATCTCCACCCCTTCACCCCTCCCCTCATTTCACTTTTCTCTCACTACACGTATTGAGGCCCCCTTTTCTTTCTCAGGCTTGGGGATAAGTTTAAATCATTGTGTTCCCATTTCTTGATAACTGCCTTCTTTGAGCTTTTGTTCCCTTAAAGTAGGATTGCACACTGAAAGAGGGGCTGAAGATGAACAGTTTGACCCCTTAGGACAGTTCACGCAGTGGACAGGAGCGGCCCTCGGTCACCATCGCTGATGCTATTCACCCCTGCCCCTCCCCCCTCGCATAACATTTCAGCCTTGTTTCATCTGGACAATCTTTTAGACCACACAAGTGCCTCTTGAATTTATTTAAGTTAAAAGAGTGCAAAAAGAGTCCACCTCAGGATATTTGGTGTTGGTCACGTCTTTGCAAATCTGGGTACAAATTGAAGTTGCTTTCTTTCAGCAAAACTGAGCAAAATGCTGAACAAATAGAATCCTGCTATCTAAGCAACTGAGTGTGAATGCCTGGTTTTTGAATTGCAGTAAAGTTATTGGACTGTCCTGTGATGTCCTTGGAGATGTTTCTGGTTTTTATATATCAAAGCAGTAAATAGTTCTAGACAATTTTTTTAGTATCAAGTGTGAAGGAACTCTGCTGGTGAAAAGTACACAACCAAAATTTGGAGAATTCCTTGATGGCACATGGAGGGGGATACTGTGACTTATTCCTATACTTGTACGTGATCTAAGATACACTACTGTATAGATGCAGAGAAGTCCTTATTTTCAAAATAAAATTCTATAACTCCTATGTATTTAAATGGACTACAGATGAATTTATGTATTTTAGTATGTCCAGTGATGGAATTCTATTACCCATTTGATCATAATTTTCTGAAGAGGAACTGTGCTGTTTACCCTAGTAATATTTTATTGTTTCTAATACTAAACACCTAAATTAATACTAAACATTAAACTTCTGCACAGGATACTGTTAAATATGCATTATTAACTTCTCACTCATAGCCAGTGTAGGTTTAGATTTTGTCAAAGAACTGCATGTACCCTTTCAGTGCATCATAAAACCATAAAATCTTGGGAGACCATAAAAACCTTGGAGTCAGACTCCCAAAAACTGTTAACAATCAACGAATGAAATCCATTGTGTGTTTCTCTATCAGTAAACACTGGACCCAGCTTGGACTCAGTGTCTAGTTGGGGTTATACAAGGCTAACCAGGTTTGCCTTTAAGCCTTGGCTTAAGTGGATTTTATCTGATTCCATTCTTCTCCAAATGCATTTTTATTATTAAAGCCACAGAATGAAAACAAAACTTTTCTAAAAAAAGAACCTACTCAGAGAGATGGGTTTAAAAAATAACTCCACCAAACCAAAAACCAAAACTACCTTCCTTTGTTAACTATGATGTTAATTTATTGACTTTGCAGACAACTGGGTAAAGACTTTGCAGACTTTGCAGAGAAGTGGGTAAAGACGTCATGGTTCCTCCATCATTCTAATTTTTTTTTTTTTACTTCTTTGATCATTCCCTTAGAGCATTGCTTTCTCACTCTATTTCACTGTCATGAGCAAACAAACAATTGTTTTGTATCTACTCTAGTAAGATCCTTCAACTGTTACCTGGATAGTTGGGGAGGGGGGTTTCTTTGTGGGAGGCCTGTGATATGAACAGTGTGTTGGTGTAGTATCAGTGATTAATTTGTATAAAATAATGCCCAGATGTAATGCAAAGTTGATAAGTACTTCTGGCATTTTTCACAACTGAATTTTATCCCTCTCTTTTTTAAATTAAATTCCTTTATGAATTTCTGATTCTGTAGGTACATGATACAGAGATACTCGAAGTGTAGGCGAATCAAATGGTGAATGCTGGAAATGCAAATCTTATTTTTCTTCTCTTTTTCATTTTGAACTGGTCTTAAAAATATTAAATCATGCCAGTCTTTAAGGGATTGAGGGATTGTTTTTAGATGTTACTCATTTGGTTCTGACTCTCAGTAATCATATGTACCACACTATGAAGAAAACATATGAAGATCATATGAAGAAAATACTAATCAGTTCTGCACCACCCTCACAATCATTGCTATGTGGGTGCCCATTGTTGCAGTCACTGTATCAATCCATCTCATTGGGGGTCTTCTTCACTGAAGCTCTACCAAGCAGGATGTCCTTCTCCAGGGACTGATTCCTCCTGATAATATGTCCCAAGCATGTGAGACAAAGTAGCATTACCAGTACTTCCAAGACAGATTTGTTTCTTCTTTTGGCAGTCCATGGTATAGTCAATATTCTGTGTCAACTCTATAATTAAAAGATATCAATTCTTTAATGTTCTTTGTTCATCGTCCAACTTTCATATAAGGCTCCTGAAAATACCATGTCTTTAGTGCTACACCTTAGTCATCAAAGTGGCATCTTTGTTCTTTAATAATTTTTTAAAAAGTCTTTTCCAACAGATTTGCCAACACACATTCTTTGATTTCTTGACTATGGCTTCCATAGTTATTGATTATGGATCCAAGTAAAATGAAGCCCCTGACAACTTCAATCATTTCTTCATTTACCATGATGTTACTTACAGGTCTAGAGTTGTGAGAATTTTGTTTTATGTTGTATGGTGTAATCCATACTGAAGGTTCTAAGGCTTGATCTTAAGTAAGTGTCTCAAGTCTTCTTTGCTTTCAGCAAGGAAGGTTATGTGTCATAGGTTGTTAATGCATCTTTCTCCAATCCTGTTACTCTGTCTTCTAATGATCCAGCTTCTCTATTATTTGCATAGCATAGAGATTGAATAAATATAGTGAACAGAGTGAGGAGAGAAGTGTGGAAATGAAGTTTCCACATTTCGAGAATCTGTTTTTTTAAAGGGACATCTAATGTACAAATATTAAAGAGTAAAGGAAAATCATGGCAATTGTCAAAGTATTTCAGACAGAAGTAAGTCTAGGGTGTGTTCAGATGGATGCAGAAGACAGCAAACAAATCAAAACGATGCTTAATTAACATCCGCCTTTCTTGCCCCTTTCACCTTTACAATGTGGGTTGTGATATTTATTTTTTTTTTATAAATGAGACAGAGACAGACAACATTCTTTCTCTTGCTCTCCTTCAAAACCTATCATTCCAAGTTTGTTTTGCTCAAACTTAATTTGCAAACAAGATCTCAAGAGGTGACTCTACAGTGTCCTGGAGTCCAGATCTATGTCAATCACTCATATCTTCTAACATCAGGCCCAACACACACTTGTCTAGGGAACTGGCTTTGTCCCTAAGCAAGTTCAGCCACATCAACAAGATGGTGGGTGGAAGGGGTGGATCAACAACAGAACAAGGGACCTGATGAGCAATTCAGAACAAGTTTGGTACGAAGTACACTGGCCCGTCAGCTCTTTTTTTCCTCATTGAAAAGCTGGGAGAATTGGGAGGCCGGGCCCCATGTTCCTACAACGCTCCCCCCAGAGCGGAGGAGCAGAGGTCACGGAAATGTCAGTGCAGCTTGTTCGCTCTCAGAGGCTGCAGCTTCGCTACTCCTCCCAGCAATCCCCTCTAGAACCTGCAATCTGTCTCCTTAATATCTGGTCTAACCTTAACTTCGAGTTAACTCTCCTCTTCCCTCTACCCTCCACCTCCTGCCTCGCAAAAGTATCAGTAGTCCAAGCCTCGATTTGTCACAAAGTAAAATGAGGAGGCCACTTTCAAATCTTGAATCACCAAAGTCTTCTCCCTTGCACATCAGTTTCTCTGGAACCAAAATATGTTCCCCCACCATGGGTCCAAGCTTGCTCTCCATATCCTCCACCCTCCTAACCAGATGAACGGGTTCTAAAACTTTTTACTATTTGATACAACTTATAAGAGTCTTTGCCAAGAGACTCCTTACAGCACTACCGGGCTGTCTGCTCTCCCCCCCCCCCCCAGGATTCTGACCCCCATTAACTAATTCTTCAACTGTCCTCATCCGGGAGAGAGGTGGATGGGTAAGGCCGCTTGCGGTGCGCGCACGGACGCGCACTGAGACAAGGGGAGCCATGGTCGAGAGCACTGGGACAGGGGCGGGGGCGGCAGCCAAGGTCCCCCACCCGCCCCCGACGCCCCGGCCCCTAATGAGCGGATGAAAAGGAGCGGGCTCCGGTGCGCGTGGCTCGCAGGCCTCCCGGAGTCCGAGGCGCCCTGATTGGCCAGCTGCGCCTCGCGACCTCCATTCATTAATAAATTAGCGGCACGCTCCAGCCGAGCGCGAGCCACCAATCACAATGAGCAGCGGCGGCGACAACAGCCGCAGCTTGAGCCGCCGGGGCGGCTTCAGCAGCTCTAGCCTCAGCCTTGAGCTCCAGCAGGAGCTTTAGAATCATTTTATGCTGATTAGATAAAGGGGGGAATGGGGGGGTGCGGTGGGTGGAGGAGGATGGATGGCAGGGCCATGGGAGGGGGGAGAGGGTGAAGAAAAAGAAAGAAATGAATGATGATAATGCAATGAAAAGAATAAGCCAGGGGAGGGAAAAGAGGGGGAGAAGGGGGACCAGGAGAAGGGGGAGCAGGAGAAGGAGGCGGCAGGGCTGGATGGAGGTGGGGGGCCCCGGGGGCAGATCTGATTGTTTTCTTGGTGGTATATAAGGGGTTTTAAGGAGAGTCGTGTGCCAGACACGCAGCCACTGAACCACAAGCAGCTTCGCTTTAACTGGAGTGCCTGTGAGTCGCGTGCCAGGAGCCTCACGGCCAGGACTGACTGACAGACACGCACAGTCACCACAACACACGAGACCCGGGCGGGTCGCAGCCGCCGCCGCCGGGGCTCTTGGCAAACTCTGCTGTCGGAGGGATCCCCCGCGGAGCCGCGCCGCGGTAGCACCCGGCCTGCTGTTCACAGCGAGAAGGACGCAACGCTGCATTGGCGGCGCCCAGATCCGGGGCCCGTGTAGCGACGCTGAGAGACACAGTGAGAGCTAAGTAAGTATCTGATCTGTGACATCCTACTTAGCGAACTGTTGCCCTACTTGGTGAGGCCAAACCCGCACGCATTCTGTGGGAGTGGACTTTTTATGGCCAAGTTTGCGCTTCTTTCCCGGGACTGAATCCCAGCAGCCGCAAAGCCAACATGAAGGCGAGACCCGGCTGGCTGGCGGCTAGGACGCAAATACGGGCGCTCTCAGTTTGGAGACTACTAATGGGGTTTCCTCTCAGCGCTTTTCCAACCCATTCCTGTCGGGCGAGCGCCGGAACACTGCTTCTGTTTTCACGCTTTTTCTTTGCTTCTTTCTGTTCCAGCTGTCAGCGGTAGGATGTTCGTCAAATCGGAGACCTTGGATCTGAAGGAGGAAGAGGACGTATTGCTGCTTCTCGGTTCGGCCTCCCCGGCCTCAGCGGCCCTGACCCCGCTGACGTCCAGCACCGAGGAGGAGGAGGAGGAGGAGCTGGGCGCGTCCGGCGGCGCTCGGCGGCAACGCGGGATCGAGGCCGCCCCGGGGGCGCGTGGCGGCTCGGCCGCGGGCGGCTCGGTCTGCAGGCCCGCGCGGCTGCTGGGCTTGGCGCACGAGTGCAAACGACGATCGTCCCGGGCCCGGGCTGTCTCTCGCGGCGCCAAGACCGCGGAGACCGTGCAGCGCATCAAGAAGACCCGCAGGCTGAAAGCCAACAATCGCGAGCGCAACCGCATGCACAACCTCAACGCGGCGTTGGACGCGCTGCGCGAGGTGCTTCCCACGTTCCCTGAGGACGCCAAACTCACCAAGATCGAGACCCTGCGCTTCGCCCACAACTATATCTGGGCGCTCACCGAGACCCTGCGCCTGGCGGACCACTGCGGCGGCGGCGGCGGGGTGCTGCCGGGGGCGCTCTTCTCGGAGGCCGTGCTGCTGAGTCCCGGAGGCTCTAGCGCCACCCTGAGCAGCTGCGGGGAAAGCCCATCACCCTCTTCCACCTGGAGCTGCACTAACAGCCCTGCGCCGTCCTCCTCGGCGTCCTCCAACTCCACCTCCCCCTACAGCTGCACTTTATCCCCCGCCAGCCCGGAGGGTTCAGACATGGACTACTGGCAGCCCCCACCTCCCGACAAGCACCGATATGCACATCACCTACCCATAGCCAGGGATTGCATCTAGAGCTGCCGTCTCTGTCACCCACGCAGGCCTTAGCAAGTCCCTTTTCTGCCCTGTATCACAATTTCCTCCCACCCTACCCTGACCCCAACTTTCCACGCACCACTGACCACCTCACATCACAAAGCAGATGTAGCTGTTCTCATTACTTGCTGGCTTCGTTGCACTCTTTTGCTGTGGGTTTTCTTCATTCACGCAGTCTGATTTAATGAACTTGTAATGAAGCTTGTTATCAAAGAGGATGGTGGAATTTTGGGTGCGCTTCTAGAAGAGGTGAGCAAGACGCTGGGAGCGATAGTGTGCGGAATGAGGGGTTTGCAGAGAGGGCAGACACTCCTCCCCTCACTTGTCACTGAGGAGAACACAGTGAAGTTCGTGTGAATCACCCCGGACCAATGCAACTGGTTCTTGTGATCTCGTCACCTTTGCATCTACATAGAGATGTTAATGTCGAGTAGAAAAAAAAATGTATCTTAGCATCTGAATTATTTTACCGGTAATAATATTATCCACAGATTCGCAATGGCTGGCATCTGCTTTATTCCCATTGCTGTCTGCAGGCTGTGGGAATTTCACCTGTCAAACCAAACTTTCCCTCTCTGATGTGCACTTTGTTCTGTTCCCAGATTCGTCACAATGCCTATTGTCCTGCCCTTCTCATTCCTTTTTCTTCCCCATTTTGCCATCTGTCCCTTATGATTTATAAGGGGGAAAAGTTGTTTTGTTAGAGGGCCAGGTTAGAAGTCATTGTATAATTTGTAGACTTTGTAATGATTGAATGCAAGCGTGGAAATTTAGGCTGAACTCTCTATCAAAAGAAAAAATGTGGAGGAAAAGGGAAAAATCAGGAGGGAGGATTGCTTCATGCATTATTTATCTCGACCTTTTAGGGGAGAAGGAACTCCCTCATTCTTTCAAGAGATTAAAAATAAATCAACAGACTGAAAACCTAAGCAGACACGGAGCATTATCGGGATCAGCCACACACGTGTTCCCTTCTATTTATTATAAAGAAAAATTTCATGGGAAAAGTATGTATTTTTTGTATATTTTACAGAGTTTATTCTAGTATGTATTTACATCTCGAAGAGCAAGAAAATTGTTCTTGTGATTAAACTATAAATAAAGTATCTAATTTTCATAATCCTTGAGTGTGATCTAACTTATTCCTACATCTGTGTGATTTAGAAAGAAAGTGGATTGTGTTTTTCTGAAATTTTTCCCACGTCAAATTGAATAGAGTTCTTGTGTGTTTCAGGAATGTGTTTATGTAGGGTTTTATAGGCATATATATTTTGGAAAATGACTAGAAGCTGGATCACATTTGAGGCATGAGCACTGAAATAAGATTGTAACTCAATATAAACACAAACTTGGAAGAAAAGTTTTTGAGCAAAGAAGAAAAGCTAAAAATAAAGCTGGAAGATTATATGATAACTAAGCCATGGTACAAGCCAAGTTTGAATCAACAAGTCACAATAAGATTTAAAGTTCAGAAAATGTTAATTAAAAATATGTTGACACTGCCTTTTGCACTGACATCATCAGCTTGGTCAACCAGTGTGGTAATTAATTCATCATCCCCACGTGACCCTCCTCGCGTACCAGACTATACAAAGAATAAATTATGTTTATTAGGTTTAATTATAGAATAATATGTAATAAATATAGTTAAAATTTGCTTAAATGTAATGTTTCTTAGAGTATATGGATATTAACAACAAAATTGTTTTGTAAAATCCTCATCTAATATTACATTACTAAGTTATTAATAACTGAGTAGAACAGAAGAGGCCTTTGTAAATTTCCTTCTTTATTTCCTTCAAAAAAGATGTCAAATAGATTTACAAATGCCAATTTGCACAATGTAGCAGCTAAAAAACACAAAAGAAATAGGATAAAATCAGTGACTATGACACCACCAGCAGCAACTAATAAATAGCACATGCTTGTACTGGGTGCAAATAAGACCACGTGATTTCAAAGATTTCTGCAGCTGGGTAATAATGACAGTTCTGACCTGAGTGCATTAGAAGATTCAAAAAAGTAAATTAGCACAGAGTTTTGCCTTGATTAAACTCTTTAGCCTTGAATATACAGATATCTGTTCACTGGGTGTTATAACTTAACTACAGAGATACATTTCTATATATTTAAAAAATGTTAAGGCTGTCATTCTGGTGTAGTCCACACCTGACAATGTCACCCTGTGTGGTCCGTATCCTTTACACCTCTTAGTGACATCACTATCTTTGTGAAATGTGTAAAAATCTGATTTTTACTCTTAACCTCTTAACAGTTATGTCAGTTGTAAACAGAAAAGATGAGACAGTTATCTTTAAGACCTCTTTCCAGGCCTGAAATGGATGCTAAAACTGAGTATTCATTAATTTGTTATTGAGAAGTTAATTTCCTATTAGTAAGCTAATGATTTGAAAAGCAAATTCTCATAGAAAAAAGATGTCTGTGGTGAAATAGAACAAGATATATCAGAATTAGTTTAATATAATATTTTTAAAAAGTAATTATATAAACAAAATTTCTTAAAGATAAAGCAAAAATTGTTCTCTAATCTCTGAGAAATAATATCCCTGGAATTGATGGAGTACCAGTTGTCATAGTCCAACAAGCAGATGGAGCCCTGGACGTACTTACAAAGCTCAAGATTGTGCCAAGAAATCTAGAAGAAAGCTACTGACCAACTGACTGCAAAAAATGCATATTTCTTCTCATTCTCCCCAAAAGTGATCCAACAAATGCGGAGATTACTCAATGATATCATGAACAAAAACAATGAAAGACTGGCCCGAGGGCCGCCAGCTAAAAGTCACCCACTTTTGTCTTGGTCACATCCTTTTCTCTTCGCTGGGCCAGCTGATCTCTCTCTCTCTTTCTCTCTCTCTCTCTCTCTCTCTCTCTGTTGATGTTATTGTTGTTAAGTGCCTGTCGAGTCGCAGGCGACTCATAGCGACCCTATGAAGGAGAGTCCTTGACGCTTGGGTGCCTTTCATCCTCTCTCCAAGTTCATAGGGTTTCCGGAGGCAAGCTATTATGGAAGTGGACACCATTCCTCCTTCCACATGAATATCATATACAAGCAAAATCTTTGTGAATATTATATAAGAATAGCTAGAATAGTACCTTGACAGAGCACTGCCAGAAATTCAAGCTGGATTTAGAAGAGGCTATGGTACTAGGGGTAGATATATCATTGCTGATGTCAGATGAATCTTGGCAAAAAGTAGAAGGATCTATACCTGTATTTATTGACTATGCAAAAAGATTTTACTGCGTGATCACAACAAATTATGACTAACATTGAGGAGACTGGGATTACCAGAGCACTTAACTGTGCTCATTCAAAACCTATACCTTGACCAATAGGCTATTGTTCAAACAGAGCAAGCGGACATAGCATGGTTTAAAATGATAAAAGTTGTACATCAAAATAGTATCCTTTCTCTGCACCTGTCCAATCTATATGCTAGGCAAACCATTGGATAAGCTGGGATTTATGGAGAAGAATGTGGCATCATGATTGGAGAAAGACTCATCAACAATTGGTATTAGGCAGATGACATAACCTCACTTGTTGAGTGTAAGGATGCCTTGAAGTGCTTGCTGCATAAGATCAAGAACTTCAAATTGGATTACATATCAATATCAAGAAAAGCAAAATCATTACCACTGGGCCAATAGTGACATTATGATAGAGAAGAGATTGTAGCTGTCAATTATTTCACAATCAAGAAATCAAAAGATGAATTACATTGGGAAAATCTTCCATTAGGGAACTCTGTAGAGCACTAAAGAGCAATGATCTCAGTTTAAAGACTAAGAGGCACCTGATCCAAGCCCTGATCTTCTCAATTGCTTGCTTTGCTTCAGAAAGAGGGACAATGACTAAGGATGAGAGAAGTACTGTTGTCTTTGAGTTGTGCTAGAGAAGAGTATTGAATATCCTACAGACTACCAAGAGAACAAATAGGTCAGTATTGGAGAAGGTGAAACTAGGGTGGCTCCTAGGAGGTAAGGAGGGAAAATTCCATTCTCACATACATTAAGCATATTGTTCTTTTGTTAGTTGGCCTTGAGTAGAGTACAAGTCATAGCAACCATATGAACAATAGATCTGAATCTTGTCCTATCCTGTGCCATCTATAAGGATGCTCCTCTCCAAAGAGCATGTTGTTACAAGGAGCTTTTTCTTGGAGAACGACATCATGATTGGGAAGGTGGAAGGTCAGCATAAGAGAGGAAGACCCTGGAGCGCTGGTGGCCTAGTGGCAAGAAGCAGCACTGCAATTCCAGAGATAAGCGGTTCGAATCCACCAGATGCTCTGCTGGAGAAGGAGGAGCCATCTCCTCCTGTACCAGTCAGATCTGATTTGATGGTACACACACACACACACACACACAAAAAAAATGTAAAAAAATTAAAAAAGACCCACAACATAATGGATTGACATGATGACTATAACAAAGGATTCAAGTATATCAGAGATGATGAGGATGGCACAAGAAAGAACAAGGTTCAGATCTTCTGTTCATAGGCTCACTATGAGCCACAGTTGACTCAAAAGTATGTAACAAAAGTATGTAACAAAAACACCACCACAACAATCTTTGAGAAACTTTTTAACTTACACTTTGGTCTCCAAAAGCGACTGAAGTTGGTTCAAAGATAACCAACTGACTTGTTGTTGATTGCTTTTGAGTTGAGCACTACTCATAGTGACTCTATGAACAAAAGACCTGAAGCCCCTCTACAACTATCTACATTTATTAAAGTTCATTGACTTTGCGGAGGCATGTTGTGGATGCCACTCCTGCTTCCAAACCTGTCATACAATATTTGTTGAGTCACCTGTGATGCATAGAGACCTATGTACAGCAGCTCTGAACCCTTCCCTGTCCTGAGCCAGTCTCACTAATTCTGACACACCAACCCCCATTGCCCCCGTCTCTGTATCGGAGGTCTTCCTCTCCTGCGTTGTCAATCCACCCTTTCAAGCATGATGTCCTTCTCCAAGGACGGATCTCTCCTGGCCATGTGCCCAAAGTAAGTGAGGTGGGGCTTCAAATCCTAGCCTCCAAGGAAAGACTTGGTTTCATCCTCTCCGAGACAGACCTATTTGTTTTCTTGACAGTCCATGGTATGTTCAAGACTCTTCTCCAGCACCACAACTCAAAGGAATTCTTCTTCTGTCATTGCTAGTCATTGTCCAACTCTCTGAAGCATAATAAGTAATTGAGAAGACTATGGCCGGAATTAGGTGCACTTTAGTGTCTAGAATGACATTGTTGCTTTTCCTGACAGCAGATTTTCCCAGTGCACTTCATCATTTGATTTCCTGACTGCTGGTATTAAGAGTGTTGATTGTGGGATCCGAGCAAGTGGTAATTGCTGACAACCTCAATCTCTTCTTCATCTATTATCGTGCTGCCAGTTGTCCCAGTGGTGAGAATCACTGTCTTCTTGCTGTTAAGCTTCAATCCATATTGGAGACTACAGTCCTTGACTTTGCAGCAAGTGCTTCATGTCTTCTTCAGTTTCAACAAGCAAAGTTGAAGGAGAAAGTTCAGAGTGCTCTGAAGAACTTGCCAAAAAAAAAAGCCCCAGGAATTGATGAAATATTAATTGACGTATTTCAGCAAATAGATGCTACCCTAATTGTGCTCACCAAGTTGTGCCAAGAAACCTGGAGGACAACTACTTGGCCAACTGACTGGAAGAGATCCATATTTATTCCCATGCCAAAAAAAAAAGTGACCGGAGAGAGTATGGAAATTATCGAACAATATCACTAGTATCATACACTAGCTAAATCCTCCTGAAGATTATCCAGAAAAGACTTGAGCTGTTCTCAGTACATTGATTGAGAACTACCAGAAACACAAGCTGGGTTTAGAAGAGTTTATGGCACTAGGGATATTATTGCCACACGGATCTTGACAGAAAGCAGAGAGTACCAGAAGAATGTCTATCTGTGTTTCATTGATGATGCAAAGGCATTTGACTGTGTGGGTCACAATAAATTGTGGCTAACCTTGAGGAAAATAGGACTCTCAGAACATATGATTGTGCTTACAATGAAACCTATACTTGGAACAAAAAAGCAGTCCTCAGAACAAAGCAAGGAA